ATGTTGGACAGATGTGGATCTGCTGAGGCAAGCAAGATGTGGAAGGCTTTACTCTCTATAGTGCAGCACTGCTTCCTTATGACTTTTCAAGTAGTCTGAAGGATAAAAATTCAAAACTATAGTTCTGGGGGGAGGAGACAGTCTTTACATGAAATGGTGCTGGGAAAACTAGACATCCACATGAAAAGAATGAAGCTAGACCCATACCTTGCATCATAAAAAAAGAATAAAAATGAATCAAAGACCTAAACATAAGTGCTAAAACTACAAAACCCAGTAGAAAACATAAAGGAAAGCTTCATGACATTAGGTTTCTTAGATAGGTCACCAAAAGCTCAGGCAACAAAAGAAAAATATGTAAATTGGCCTTCATCAAAATTAAAGGCTTTTGTGAATCAAAGGACACTATCAAGAGAATGAAAAAGCAACCAATAGAATGGAAGAAAATATTTTGCAAATCATATATCTAATAAGGGATCAATATCCAGAACATATAAAGAACCCCTAAAAACTCAACAACAACAAAAACAACCCAATTTAAAAGTAGGCAAAGAACTTGAATAGACATTTCACAAAAGATGATAAAAAATAGGTAATGAATACATAAAGAACTACTCGGTATCACTAATCATTGGGGAAATGCAAATCAAAACTACAGTGAGATACCATTTCACATCCAGTGGAATAGTTATTATAAAAAGCAAACAAAAGACAAAAGTTTTGGGAAGGATGTGGAGAAACTGGAACCCTTGTGCATTGCTGATCTTTTTTTTTTTTTTTTTAAAGATTTTTATTTATTCATGAGAGACAGAGAAGCAGAGACACAGGCAGAGGGAGAAACAGGCTCCATGTAGGGAGCCTGATGTGGGACTTGATCCCAAGACTCCAGGATCACACCCTGGGCTGAAGGCAGTGCTAAACCGCTGAGCCACCCGGGCTGCCCCTGCATTGCTGATCTAAAAGTAAAATGGTGGGGATCCCTGGGTGGCGCAGCGGTTTGGCACCTGCCTTTGGCCCAGGGCGCGATCCTGGAGACCCGGGATCGAATCCCACGTCGGGCTCCCGGTGCATGGAGCCTGCTTCTCCCTCTGCCTATGTCTCTGCCTCTCTCTCTCTCTCTCTGTATGACTATCATAAATAAATAAAAATTTAAAAAATAAATAAAAGTAAAATGGTGAGTTGCTATGGAAAACAGTATAGTAGTTCCTTAAAAAACTAAACATGGAATTTCCATATGATCCAGGAAATCCACTTCTGGGTATATATCCAAAATAATTAAAAGTAGAGACTTGAACAGATATTTGTATGCCTGTTTTCAAAGCAGTGAGATTCTGAATAGCCAAAAGATGGAAACAACCCACATGTCTAACGGACAGGTTAAACAAAATGTAGTATATATATGCAATAGTCCCCGTTTATCAGCAGTTTCGCTTTCCACCTTTTCAGTTACCTGCTGTCAAGCGAAGCGGAAGCCGGGGAAAGCAGATGGTCCTCCTGAGAAATTGGCAAGCCAACAGTAGCCTAAAGCTATGTCTCCATGCGGGTGTTACTCACTTTTCTTCATGTCATCAGGTAGGCATTTTATCATCTCACATCATCGCAAGAAGATGGGTGAGTACAGGGTAATAGGATATTCTAAGAAAGCGACCACATTCACATAACTTTTATGACAGTATATTGTTATTATTGTTCTATTATTGTTAATCTCTTACTGTGCCTAATTCATAAATTATACTTTATCTTAGGGAGATATGAATAAGAAAAAGCATGGTATATATAGAGTTTTGTACTAACCCTGGTTTCAGGGGTCTTGGACGAACCACCTGGGCTGTAAGGGAGGACTACTATACAATGGAATATTTTTCAGCATTAAAAAAGGAATAAATTCTAATACATGCTATAACATGGAAGAGTTTAAAAACATTATGCTAAGTGAAATAAGCCAGACACAAAGGACAAATACTATATGATTACACTTGTATGAGATACATGAGAGGGAGGACCCATTTTTCCAGCGCCAGCCAGGAGATGGGGGCACTTGCTCTGCGCCCACCGGCCTCCAGGTTCAGGGAAGGAACCTGGCTCTGCACAGAGTAGGGGCGGTTGCGCGCCAGCCTTTTGCGCCTGGAACAAGAGCCTGAGGCCACCTGTGGGGTGCAAACCCTTGTCCCTCGCCGCTGGGTGCCAGCCTTCCACCCTCCTGCAGTCCTGGGAGCAGCTGGGCAGGGCAGAGCGCGGCGCGGGGCTGGCGGCGAAGGTCCGCGGCGGGCTCGGCGTCGCTGCGGCCGCCCAAGACCCCCCAGGCCGGCCGGGAGCTCCCGCAGACCCACCTTCGCGGCGCTTCCCTCTAGAGGAGGTCGGGCTCCGGGCTCTGCGGGCCCGCCTGGCGACCTCGCCTCCGGCGGCGGGGCGCGCGGCTGCGGCGCCCGGGGCATGGCTTCGGCGGGCAGCGGCATGGAGGAGGTGCGCGTGTCGGTGCTGACGCCGCTGAAGCTGGTGGGGCTGGTGTGCATCTTCCTGGCGCTGTGCCTGGACCTGGGGGCCGTGCTGAGCCCGGCCTGGGTCACGGCCGACCACCAGTACTACCTGTCCCTGTGGGAGTCCTGCCGGAAACCCGCCAGCTTGGACATCTGGCACTGCGAGTCCACGCTCAGCAGCGGTGAGGGCCCGGCGCGCCGCGACCCCTGCCTCCCGCTCGGGACCGCCCCGCGGCCCGGACGGCCACCGCCTCTCGCCCCCACCCCTGCCGCGTCCCCGACCCGCCCGGGGCCGCCCCGCTCGGTCCTGGCCCTTCGGGGGCCCCTGGGCTACGTAGGGCCGCCTCCCTGATCCGCACCCCTCGCCCGGCGCCCCCCCCTCCTGGCCGCCAAAGCCAATGCCACGGGCGCCCCACGCCCTCTCCGTCCTCCCGTGGCCGTTCCGTGGGCCCCGGAGTAACGCGTATGCTGTTTGGGGTAATTGATCTCATTTAAGGCGAGAACCGTGTGGTTGTGTTAGAAATGCAACGCCTTCCACGCTCTCGTTAAAAAGGACAAGCAAGACCGCCCCGACTGCACCGGGACGCCGCGCGTTCTCTGCTCGGTCTTCCCCGCTCTCTTCTCCCTCCTCTCTCAAGGAGCAGTTTGCCTGACTTTACCTCTTAGTGCCCACGTTTCTGGCAGCTCTACTCCACTTTGTCTCGGTTTTCCCTGGGGAGTTTCGGTTTGGCTTTTATTTCCTTAAATTTTTGAGGGGTATGGAGAATTGGAAGAGAGACAGGAGTAATTTCCTTTACGTGTGTGTGTGTGTGTGTGTGTGTGTGTGTGAGAGAGAGAGAGAGAGAGAGAGAGAGAGAGAGAGATGCGTTTTTGGTTGTGAGTTGCACTTCTTTCTTTCCCTCTCCAAATATCTTCTGTCTCCTCCAGATTTTTCTTTTTCTTCAAGAACTACTTACAAAAGCCTGGAACTTTATAGTTTACTCACCCAACTCTAAAAGCTGCAAACAGATCTGTACTGTGAGAGCTCCTAAGACAGAATTGATTCTTGAATTAGATCTTGGAAAGGAAACAAAAGTACTATAAAGGACATTATTAGAATGATTGTTGAGTGCAAATAGGGATACATCTACTACATAGTAGTTAAGTGATTTTTTTTTTTTTTTTGGAAATACACAGTGAAGTTTCCATGATATATGCAGCTTACTAGTAAAAGTGTGGGGAAGGGAAAGAAAATATAAAGCAAATGTGGCAAAATGTAATTGGCAAATATTAAGTAAAGGGCATTTTTGTATTCATACAACTTTCCTGTAAATTTTAAATTACTTACAGTTTTAAAAAGATTTTATCTATTTATTCATGAGAGACACAGAGAGAGAGGCAGAGACACAGGCAGAGGGAGAAGCAGACTCCATGCAGGGAGGCGGATACCGGGCTCCATCCCGGAACTCCAGGATCATGCCCTGGGCCAAAGGCAGGTTCTAAATTGCTGAACCGCCCAAGGATCCCCAAATTACTTACATTTTTAAGTTCAAAATAATATTGTTTACTAGCATAAAGAACTTTCACACAATGCATTTTGAACAAGTACTGGCCTTTCCTTTAAAAAAAATTAGGAGGAAAAGTCATTAGCTTTGTGAAAACTAGAGAATATCTAAAACTTATATTCATTGAAAAATACAATATAGAGGACAATATAGATTTTGTGCATGGTTTGAAAACATGAGCCATATTGCACTTTAAACATTTCATGATATTTGGTATAGATAGTGAAGGTTCTAAATAACATTTAGATCACATTTACAAATGGCACTTTATTCTCTTTAGAGTACATAATAGCTTATGATTGCTCTAGGAATGTGGCTACTTTAAGACAAAGCCAGTTGTGTTGAAACACACACGTACGCACAATGATCCACACACTCACAAAAAATCACGTGAAGCAATAAACAAATGACACACAAGATGTATTTGATTGTCTTCTAGTACATCCGACATCACTTGTTTAGCAACTAGTGTTATTTTCATGGTCAGTGCCCAAGAATGGATCTTTATATAATGGCTATGTCGGGTATTGTCATTTCCAACTCCAGAGCAGTTCCACGGAATTTAGACCACTGCCTTTGGCTTGCCCACCCCTGCTGTCCTTGAATAGCATGCCATCTACAGTAAAGAGAGGTAAGGAAGAGTATTCTTAGAGTGGGGAGAGGAGTTCAAAGATAGATAGGTTTTTTTTGTGTTTTTTTTGTACAAGAAGTCAAAGATTTTAAAACAGTGTCAATATCTCTTCGGTTCCTCCACACTTCCTCACTGATTAGGCAAAGTGAGGTGATGATATTGGTAACTTTCCCCATCAGAGCCTCGTGTGAAACAAGCACTTCCCCCTTGCTAGGATGATCAATCTCCGCTCAGCAGAGTCCCGTGGGAACAGGGCCCTCAAAGCCGGACCCACACAGACCCACACACCGGGAAGCGAACCTGGCTCTCCTAGCCAGGTGTATTCTTAGATGCCGCTTGCAGAGTTCCTCACAAAGGTAATTTGTGATCAATTTGTAACTGAGAGCGATGCACACAATTCGGGAATGCAGACTGCAAACGTACATCCAAAGGTAGGCAAAACTGTGAACGTTTCTTACAAATTGCCAATACACTTACAGTTTTCTCAGTATTTTCAAAAGCTTCTCTTGCTTCTTCAAACGTGCAGATTTCTTCTTTGCATTCACGATCAATGTTGCCCTGTCTTATTTCTTCAAAAAGTCCATTAGCTCTTGGGTAGCGTTTCAATACTGAATTGGCTTTTTCTCCTGTGAGGAAAACTAAGAAGAGAGAAAATCAAAAGCATAAAATTATCATTTGAAAAACATGTGGAAACTTCGCATACAAGGTGGAAACTGCTAGGTGCCCTTTAGAAAACACAACCAGCATCCTAAACCTCTTTCCCTGAGTCAACAACGTTTACTCCAAATCGCCACCTCTGCTGTCTTCCTCCTCCTGTGAGCATGCCCTTTGAGCAGCACTTGCCCTGGGTAGGGACAGTGACATAATTCACAGTTAGATTCAGACTTTAGCACATTCCTGCCAGCCATTGGTATTTAAATATAGTAATAGTGATTCCACTACTTATACTCTTTGTTGTAAGTGGATGCCCCCAGGCATTCTGCTGTTGGGCACTGGCAACCAAGTCAAAATCCAGTCTCCAGACCACCAGTCTTTGTTCCCCTAAATAAAAATAAACTAGTAATATAGACCCAGAGAACCCTTACTTATATGAAAAGAAGAGCTGGCAAAACAATATCAAGAAGTTAAGATGAGGGATCCCTGGGTGGCGCAGCGGTTTGGCGCCTGCCTTTGGCCCAGGGCGCGATCCTGGAGACCCGGGATCGAATCCCACGTCGGGCTCCCAGTGAATGGAGCCTGCTTCTCCCTCTGCCTGTGTCTCTGCCTATCTCTCTCTCTGTATGACTATCGTAAATAAAAAAAAAAAAAGAAAGAAAGAAAAGAAGTTCAGATGAATTTGGCCATAATTTATTCCAAGGATTACTAAAAATAATTTTGTTCTGGATGTAGTTAAGTTAAATATATCATGACACTTTAACATATCTAACCCCATTTCACTCTCTTTCTGAAAAAGGAAATGATTCTTCATGATATTTAGAGATATTACATACAAAAAAATCAATGTACACCCAAGATATCCTTCCTATACATAAAAAGGCAATAGCTGGGGGCACCTGGGTGGCTCAGTTGGTTAAATGTCTAACTCTTGATTTCAGCTCAGGTCATGATCTCAGGGTCATGAGATCAAGCCTGCATTGGGCTCTGTGCTCAGCAGGGAGTCTGCTTGGGTTTCTCTCTCTCCCTCTGCCCCTCTTCCCTGCTCTCTAAAATAAATAAATAAATCTTTTTGGAAAAGGGCAATGGCTGGGGCACCTGGGTGGCTCATTCAGTTAAGCATCTGCTTTCTGTTCAGGTCATGATCTTGGGGTCCTGAGATGAACCCCAAGTCAGGCTCCCTGCTCAATGGGGAGTCTACTTCTCTCTTTCCCTCTGCCCCCTCCCACTTGCACTCTGTCTCTTGTGCTCTCTCTCACTCTCAAATAAATAAAAGATATTTAAAAATAAATACATAATGGAGGCCAGAAGGCAATGGGATATTCAAATTGCTGCAAGGAAGAAAATGTCAACCAAGAACACTAATATATTGAGCAAAATTATCATTTTGAAATGAAGGTAAAATAAAGATGTTCCCAGATACATGAAGACTGATAAAAATCATTGCTAATAGCCTTGCTTTATAAAAAATCTAAAAGTTCTTCTATCTGAAAGGAAATATCACCAGGCTGTGACTAGAATACACACAAATTGTTTTTAAAGGGAATTGCCTAAAGCAATAATTATAATAAACCATTGTATTGTTAGGTCTATAATATACAGATGTATATAGCAATGATAGTGCAACTGAGGATACAAAGAATGGAGCTATATTGGAACAAAGTTTCTATGTTTTACTGGAGTGTATTTGTATTTTCTTTTTTTATTTCCCTAAGTAGTCTCTAGGGCCAATGTGGGGCTTGAACTCATGACCCCAAGATCAAGAGCCAGCCAGGTGCCCCTGGAATGTATTAGTATTAAGGTGAAGTAGACTGTGCTAAAATACATATTGTGATCCCTAGAGAAATCAATAAAAAATCACTTTAAAACATAAGAATGAAAACCAACAAATGAATTAAAATGGTATAGTGGAGAATATCTATTTCATACAAATGAAGGGACTAGAGGAAGAATAGGGAAACACAAAAGACAGGAGATTCACAGGAAACATATAGCAGTATGGCAGATATAAGTCAACCATATCAATAATAACATTAAAAGTAAATAGATTATATAATCAAAAGACAGATACTGCCACAATGGATAAAAAGAATATCCAACTATATACTATTTACAAGCGATACACATTATATTGAAAGACATGAATAGTTTGAAAGTAAAAAGGAGTTACGTTATGCAAACAGTTACCAAAGGAGAGCAGGAGTGGCTATACCTATCTCAGGGAAAAAAATGTACATGAAAACACAAACTCTTCTTTTTTTAAAGATTTTAATTATTTATTCATGAGAGATATATATAGAGAGAGGCAGAGACACAGGCAGAGGGAGAAGCAGGCTCCATGCAGGGAGCCCGATGCAGGACTCGATCCTGGGACTCCAGGATCAACCCCTGAGCCAAAGGCAGATGCCTAACTGCTGCACCACCAAGGCATCCCAAAGACACAAACTCTTACTAGAGGCAAAGAGGGACATTTTATAGTGATAAAAAGTTCAAATCATCAGGAAGAGATAATATTATCAATGTACATATGCATAACCAGAAAGCCTCAAATACATGAAACAAAACCTACAGAATTGAAGGATGAAATTGGAAGTCGGAAATGATAGTTGGAGATGGCAATTCCTACTTTTGTAACAGCATAACTAGGAAGAAAAGCAGTAAAGAAGTAGAAGACTTTACTAAAACTATCAACCAGGTAGGCCTAACAAAAATCTATAGAACGCGCCACCCAACAAGAGCTGAATACTTCTTCCCAAGCACTCATGACATATTCTCTAGGATACACCATATTCTAAGATGAGCCTCAATCAATTTAAAAGGATTGAAGTCATAACAAAGAATATTTTTTTTACCAAAATGGAACAAGACTAGAAATCAGTAACAGAAGACAACTTGAGAAATTCACAAATACGTGGAAATGAAACAACACACTTCTAAATAACCAATAGGTCAAAGAAGAGATCACATGGGAAATTAGAAAATACTTTGAGATGAATGAGAAAGAAACATGGCATACCAAGAAATATGGAGTGCACCAAATGCAGCAATGAGAGAAAAATGTATAGCTGCAAATGGTCACGTTAAAAATATATATCTCGGGCAGCCCGGATGGCTCAGCAGTTTAGTGCTGCCTTCAGCTCAGGGCGCAATCCTGGAGACCCGGGATGGAGTCCCAGATCAGGCTCTCTGCATGGGGCCTGCTTCTCCCTCTGCCTGTGTCTCTGCCTCTCTCTCTTTCTGTGTCTTCCATGAATAGATAAAATCTTTAAAAATAATTAATTAATACCTATTCTTTAAAAAAAATAAAAATATATCTCAAATAAACTTTCTATGTTTTAAAAGATTTTATTTATTTATTCATGAGAGATGCACACACACAGAGAGAGAGAGAGGCAGAGACACAGTCAGAGGGAGAAGCAGGCCCCATGCAGGGAGCCTGATGTGGGACTTGATCCCGGGACCCCAGGATCACGCCCTGGGCCAAAGGCAGGTGCCAGACCACTGAGCTACCCAGGGATCCCCTCAAATTAACATTCTACATTTTAAAAAAGAGAGAGAAAGTTCAGAACCAAACCCAAAGCAGGCAGAAGTAAGAAAATGTTAAAGATGAGAAAAGAAGTAAAAGCAACATAGGACAGAAAAACAATAGAGGAAACAATATCAAGTGGGGTTCTTTTGAAAACCAAAAAAATTGACAATATGTAGCTAGACTGACCAAGAAAAGGAAGAAAGAGACAAGTTATATACGGAATGTAAGAAGGACATCACTGCCTTGTTCATAGAAGCAAAAAAGGGAATATTGTGAACCAGAACTAGATATGCCACCTAGATGAAATGGACAACTTCCTAGGACAAACTTCCAATATAAACTTCAGAAACTGACTCAAGAAGACTCAAGAAGTAGAATATGTCATCTGACCTACATAAGAGCAAATTGATTAGATTAGTGATTTAAAAACTTTTCACAGTCAAAAGCCCAGGCTTTTGATTTTTAAAAAATATTTTAAAAGAACTATTACCTGTTCTTCACAAGCTCATTTGAAAAATAGAAGAGAGACTATCTCCACATTTAATGAGGCCAATGTTACCGTGAGAGCAGAATCACACAGAGGTATCACAAGAAAACTACAGACCAATATCCTTTATGCAGCAATCTGGATTTGGCTTGTAAGCCATAGTTTGACAACCCATGCTATAAAACAAAGCAGTTGGTGATCCCTGGGAGGCTCAGTGGTTTAGCGCCTGCCTTTGGCCCAGGGCACGATCCTGGAACCCGGGATCGAGTCCCACGTTGGGCTCCTGGCATGGAGCCTGCTTCTCCCTCCTCCTGTGTCTCTGCTTCTCTCTCTCTCTCTATGTCTATCATAAATAAATAAATAAATAAATAAATAAATAAATAAATAAATAAATAAATCTTTAAAAATAATAATAAAAAATAAAACAAAGCAGTTTGTGATAAATCAGCAAAATGGGTAAAACTGTATGTGTATGTGTGTGATTAGTAATTCTTGATTCAATAATTGTAATTGAAGTTAAATTTTTTGTGTGATTGGTCCAGTACTTGCATGATTATATGACTGAGTTGTGGAAATTGAGGCATTATTATTTTCCAGCTCTCCAAGTGATTCCACAGGGAAGCCGTGTTTGAATACCAAGATGTTAGTTAAACCACTGTTTTTCAAACTTAAGTTTGCATATTCATCACCTGGGATCTTGTTAATGTGGATTCTGATTCAGTAGTTCTGGATTGGGACTTCTAATTTTGCACTTGTAACAATTGCTCATGTGAGACTGACACTTCTGGTTCCTAGACTACACTTTGAATAGTAGCAAGGTACTACACTGAGTTTCATAGTCTGGGAAGTCTAGATCCTCCCCAGAAGACTCTGGTGTGCATGTTCTGAGATGTGCCCTGTGCCTCAAGATTTTTAAAAGCTTCACAGGTTGACTCTAAAGGCAGAAAAGCTTAAGAGCCTAAAGTTCATGAT